AGCGGAGTGGAGGCGGCCCTTCCAGCCTGCGGGCGCTCACACACCCCGGCAGAGTGGACGGGGGGGGGGGGGGGAGGCCGGGCCTGGCCGAGAGAGGGAAGGGAAGTCTCGCACCTGCCTTCCCCTCGCGAGGGCTCCGGGCCCCGCCGGCTCAGACCAGGGGCTCCCTCCGCTCCTCCGCGCACAACTCCGCTAATGGCGGCGACGAGCACCGCTTTGCACGATCCCCGCCGAGAGTACGCAGGCGCAGGCCTCCGGAACCGGATGCGAAGGTGGGGCCATTACTGACCAATCGGCGCCGGCTCCGAAGGACGGTTTTTCTCTATTCGCCTCGGAAATGATTGGAGCTCTTCCGGTGTCGGTTGCGTGGGGCAGGTCCGTGGATCCGTTAGCCCTCCCACCCCCTCTCTTTCGGCCCGGGCTCCTCGCGCGGGACCGTCCGGGGCCTCCGTTCCTGCCGTCGCCGCTTCGAACGGGCTTCCCACGAGCGGCGTCCTAGCAGCGGGGCGCCGGCACTCGAAGCCGGTGGGGATCCTCCCGTCCTCCATGTCACGGCTGTCCCGAAGGTGCTTTTTCAGGAGGCAGCTTTTTTCTTTGGAGAGGTTTCACTTCTCGAAGAAGCTGTTTCGGCCCCTCCGTTCCCCACCCTCCAGTCAGAGCTGAAGAAGCTTCTTGGAGGAGAAGCGAAACGTCTCCAAAGAAAAAGCCCCTTTGGGGGTCCTTTGACAAAGCGGCTCAGTTAGAAGGCCAGCGAAATGCTGTGGACGTTAAGCCTGCTTAAGCCTTCAGCCAGGCATCCCGCGAAGGAGACCCCAACCTACTTCTTGGTAAGGTAGAGAAATGTGGGACAGACAGCATCACCCGCAGGTGGATTCCGTAGCTGGCTGGCCAGCCACTACTCAACGAGTAGTCCCTAACGCTACTGTGTCCACGTGGAGGGAAGGGAGCAGTGGGATGCCACAAGGTTCTGTCTTAGCCCCAGGACTCTTCCATATCTCCATTAGAATAGAATAGTTCTTCATTGGCCAAGTGTGATTGGACACACAAGGCATTTGTCTTTGGTGCAAATGCTCTCAGTGTACATAAAAGAAAAGATACATTCGTCAAGAATCATCTGGTACAACACGTAATGATAGTCATTGGGTACAACAGAATAGAATAGAAGAATATAGGAATACAATTTAAATAGAATGCAATGGGACGGGATATAGAATAGAATAGATATTGGAATGAAGAATAGAATAGAATAGAATTATTTATTGGCCAAGTGGGATTGGACATACAAGGAATTTGTCTTGGTGTAAATGCTCCTGACGTACATAAAAGAAAAGATACATTCGTCAAGAGTCAAGAATCATCAGGTACAACACTTAATTAATAGTCATAGGGTACAATAAGCAATCAAATCATACTAGGAAACAATATAAATCGTAAGGATACAAGCGACATAGTCATACAGTCACAAGTGGGAGGGGATGGGCAATAGAATGATGAGAAGATTAACAGTAATAGTAATGCAGACCTTGTAAATAGTTGGACAGTGTTGAGGGAATTATTTGTTTAGCAGAGTGATGGCTTTCGGGGGGGAAAATGTCCTTGTGTCTAGTTTTTCTGGTGTGCAGGGCTCTATAGCGTCGTTTTGAGGGGTTGAAAGAGTTTATGTCTGGGATGTGAGGGTCTGTAAATATTTTCACAGCCCTCTTTTGACTCGTGCAGGATATAGGTCCTTGATGGAAGGCAGATTGGTAGCAATTGTTTTTTCTGCAGTCCTAATTATCCTCTGAAGTCTGTGTCTGTCCTGTTGGGTTGCGGAACTAAACCAGACAGTTACAGAGGTGCAGATAACAGATAATCAGAGTTGGAAGGGACCTTGTAGGTCATCTAGTCCAACCCCCTGGCCAAGCGGGAGACCCTACACCATGATGATACTCAATTCCTCTGTAGAACTGGATCAGCAGCTCCTTGGGCAGTTTGAGCTTTCTGAGTTGGCGCAGAAAGAACATTCTTTGTTGTGCTTTTTTGATGACGTTTTTGATGTTAGGTGTCCATTTTAGGTCATGTGATATAGTAGAACCTAGAAATTTGAAGATCTCTACTGTTGATACAGTGTTGTCTAGTATTGTAAGAGGTGGTAGCATGGGAGGGTTTCTTCTAAAGTCTACCACCATTTCTACGGTTTTGAGTGTTTTCAGTTCCAGATTGTTCCGATTACACCACGAGGCAAGTTGTATAACCTCCTGTCTGTATGCGGATTCATCGTCTCGAATGAGGCCAATCACTGTTGTGTCATCAGCAAACTTCAATGTTTTAACAGATGGATCATTTGAGATGCAGTCATTGGTATATAGGGAGAAGAGAAGTGGAGAAAGCACACAGCCTTGGGGGGGGGGGGCTGTGCTGATTATACAGGTATCAGATGTGATTCTGCCTAGCTTCACCTGCTGCTTCCTGTCTGTTAGGAAGCTTATGATCCACTTAAAAGTATGTTCAGCTACCGCTAGCTGGTTTAGTTTAGTTAGAAGAATGTCTGGAATGATGGTATTGAATGCTGAACTAAAGTCTATAAAGAGGACTCTTGCATAGGTATTTGGAGATTCAAGGTGTTGTAGGATGTAATGCAGAGCCATATTAACAGCATCATCTGTTGATCTATTTGCTTGGGATACAAACTGCATGGGATCTAACAGTGGATCAGTGATGATTTTCAGGTGGGGCAGCACAAGCCTTTCAAAGATTTTCATAACTACAGATTAATTAACAGATGAGGGAATAGAAGGGGAACTCATCAAATTTGCAGATGACACTAAGCTGGCAGGAATAGCCAACACCCTAGAAGATGATAGGCTCAGGATCCAGATGGATCTCAACAGACTTGAACACTGGGTTTCGTCTAACAAAATGAAATTCAACATAGAGAAAATCACGTGAAGCATCAGTGTTGCTTTATAAAAGCATTAGTAAGGTCACTCCTGGAATACTGCAACCAATTTTGGTCACCACTACAAAAAAGGATTGAGACTTTGGGAAAAGTTCAGAGAAGAGCAACTAAGATGACCAAAGGCCTGGAGATGAAAACATATGAAGAATGGCTGCAGAATTTGGGTTTGGCTAGTCTAAAGAAAAGGAGAATTATGGGTGACATGGTAGCAGTATTCCAGTATTTGAAGGGCTGCCACAAAGAAGAAGGGGGGGTCAAATTCTTCAGAGCACCAGAGGGCAGGACAAACAATGGACTGAAACTAATTAAGGAGAGAAGCAACCTGAATCGAGAAACTTCCTAACAATGAAACCAGTGGAATAGCTTGCTTTCAGAAGTGGATGCTTCATCACTAGAGCTGTTAAGAAGAGACTGGACAGCAGGGGTGGGTTTCTACCTGTTCTCTCCAGCACCTCTGTAGAACCGGTAGCTCTGAAGAGCAGCAGACATGGAACTGGTTTTGCCCACCTGGGCTCTTACCTGACCTTTATTGCCTGATTTTTTCAACTTCAGCTGCCATGTGAGGCACAGCTGCAGTTAAAAAAGCAGGAAAAAAGGGCTTGTTCAAAGGCTGCTTCTCTGCACACAGTGTGCTGATGACGATTTACAGGCTCGCGCCAGCAGCGTGCAGGGAAGCACGTTGTAAATCACCGAACTGGTAGTTTACCCTGTTGGATCCCACCCCTGCTGGACAGCCATTCCGTCAGCCAGAAAACTACCAACAGTTTCATTGTAAAAAGTATCCGGCCAATAAAGGAAACTATTTGTAGCTCAGGTGTTGAACTCTTGGTGCCTTTGAGTTCAAGTGTTGCTTGCAGACATAACATCATCTGCATGAATGAGTGTGGGGTCTGATCACTGTGTATATATGGCAGCTGGCCCTGCCAGTGTTGGGGGAGGTTTGGTTTTCTCCTGGCAGAACATACTAATGTCCATCTGGGGACATCTGCCACCTCTCCTTTGGGAGCTGTATCATCCGTGCACATCGCCCCTTCTGTTCGTATGGATGGTGCAAACTCCATAAGGTTCCCACCCTGGGCAGCCGCTTTGCCTTCTGACTCCTGGCTTTTGGGATCAAAGACTTCCCCTCTGCAAACCTCAGCGGCTCTGCCTGCCTGCCAAGCAGGGCCAAAAAATTAGCGTTCACTAAAGTTTCTTTATTATTGTGCACACACACCTAGTAACATCTTGTTACACAAAGAAAACAAACCACATAACTTTTGTAATCTCAGGTTTAGAGATAATTACTCGGCACTTAGTGGGCGAAAGGCACTGGCACTTGGCATCAGGGCGGCAGTTCCAGGGACGGGCCCGGGAATTTAGCCCCTGGCTCCATTGGGGAAGCCAGAAGGAAGAGCAGAGGCTGACAGCAGCGAACCTGCCTGAATAGCCCTGGGATGCTGCTTTCCTTGGCTCAGGGGGAAGTGGGGGGGCTGCAGGGGCTGCTTGTAACTCTCGGGAGGGAAGAGAGGAGGAATTGCAGCGTGACGTGATAACCTCCAGCAAAACCCCAGAGGCCGTGAGCTGTGTGCTGCTTTTTCATGCTGACTCCCAAGGCCCGGGTCTGTTTGGGTCCCTTTTGTACCAGCGCTGGTGAAATCTACCTACAGAGCATTGGCAATCAAAACCTGGCCAAACTGAAGGGTAGCAGCTCCCGGGGAGGCTCCTTAGGAGGTGGTCTTCTCCAGAGAGCCTCTGCCATGGGCGTCAGGGAGGGGCAGGGGAGACCGTCTCTCTGCCATGCCCTTCCACGTCCTGGCAGCGTCTCAGGTATTGCCACGGGACAGGGATGGAAGGGAAGGGGTGAGGCTAAGAGCACCTGTTCCCAGGAGGCTCACCTTGCTCAGCTAAACATACCAGAAGGAAACATCAGGACACAGAGGCACCAGGCGAAGTCATTTCAATAAGCCCCCTCCCTCCCGGAAGGCAAAGCGAAGCCCACCATGCCGTCTGATCATTGCTCCCAGCCTTCCCGCCAAACAGCACCATGACCCTGTTCCACGGGGCTCTCCGGAAAGGCTGACCCTGCTCCCGTCTCTGCATCGCTCGGCAGCAGGGGGGCTCCCGAGAAGCTGGGGAAACCCCCCTCCCTCTGCCTGCTTGGCCGCTCTCCCTTCCCCTGGTGCTGGCAGGGGGCTGCTACTTGTGGGACGGGAGGAAGTCGCTGCGTAGCAGGCGGTAGAAGAGGACAACGTTGATGGGCAGCATGATGGCCATGCCCACTGTGCCCATGGCATAGGGGACCGCCGGGACGTTCTCCCCGTTTAGGGCCAGCCAGCGGCTCATCCAGGCCAAGATCAGGATACGGAACACCAGGTAGGTACCAAGGTTGACGAGGCTGGCAAGGCGGAAGGAGGCAGTGTTGACCAAGCCAGCCATCCTCAGGATCGTCCGCAGGTGTAGGAAGATGGAGTTGATCTCTACGAGCAGAGCCACCATAGCGAAACCCACAAAGCGACGAACCAGGAAGGCAAAGCCAAAACAAACAATCACCTGGAAGAGAGCAAGGCTGAGCCGGCTCTTCCCCCGGTGCGTCCTGCCCTTGACCCCCCCCTCCCCCACGCAAGTGGCAGGAATCCAGCTGCAGCAGGCAGGAGCCGCCTCCTGCTCTTGCTCATCCCCGCCAAAAGCAGCCGGCAGCTCTTGGGGGGGGGCTCCTGCTGGCACCGCCTGCCCCCCCCCCAGCTGTTCCGAGGGGCAGATCACGGCCTGATCCACGGACCAGGCCAGGCCCCAGGCTTCTGTTCTGCCCCCCACAGGCCTCAGGAAACGGGCTCCATGGCGGACAGATGAGGCTGCAGTCAAGGCTTCATGTCCACGGCCCCTCCCCCCCACCCCCTCCCCCCACCCCACCTCCTCTTCGGCCGAGACCTCTGTCCAATTTCTGTAACTGATGGAAAGCACCCCCCGTTCCCCCATGCACCCCCACCTCTTAGCCCCGCCCCCGAGAGGCAGCTACTTGCAGGAGGGGGCAGGCAAGCCCCTCCGTTGACGGGAGTCCATTCAAAGCATCCTTTGCTTAGGACTGGACTCTCCTTGAACAGCTCCTGCAGAATTAGGCCGTTCCCCCCTCCCCCCCCTTGCAAGATGGGCTTAAGGCGGGTTGCAAGGAGGTCAGCTGCTTCAGCTGGAAGCCAATGTCAGCCTCTGCTAAAGTTAATTCTGATGTGGTCACCCCAGAGATCAGGAGAGAGATGGCTTCTCCCTCCTGAGGCTCCCTTCCTGGAGGAGTCCCAGGTGGCCCTTGGCCAGGTGCCATGAAGGCACCCCCTCCACAGGCTCAGAGGCCCTTCGGCCTTCATGTCCCCTCTCCTGAACAGAGACCGAGGGTTGACACCCCAGCCCACATGAACTATAGCAAGAGGAAGGCGATTCCGTCCTCCTTGCTATAGCCCAGCCTGCCTGGTCAGAAGGCCCCTTGGCAGCTGAAACTCAGCCTGGACCCCCGTGGCCTGGCAAGGGCTTGGCCTCTTGCCCTTTGGGCTAGCAGACCAGGTCAGGGCCAGGGGTGTTGGAGACCCCTACAGGGTCACCCTTGCTAGGGCCATGAGTCCCATGCTCCTCCTTGTTCAGCGAAGAGGACAAATCCCTCTCCTGCCCCCCGGAGGAGCCCAGGCCAAGCCAGAAGAGGCCTCTCGGCCAGCTCACCTGGCCACAGGCATCCTGCCCCCTCAGAGCTTGGCTGCTCCTCCAAAACTCGCCCTTGCCCGGAACAGCTACGTGAGCCACATCAGCAACTCACCACAAAGTGATGGAAGAGCAGCTCCCAACATTTCTGAAGCTTCTGGTTACATATCATGTCCAAGAAGTCCTGCACAAAATACCCTGTGGAAGAAGAGACGTCCCATCAACCTGCAGCAGATTCACGAGCCCTAGAAGCCAATCCTATTTGGTGCATTGTGAAAGAATAGCCTAATGATGCTTAATTTTTGTGGAGTTGTAAAATCATCACCTTGAATTCAGGAAAAGAAGCCCCTCAAATGTAGCAACAGCCTGCATTTCCCCCCTTTTCTAAAAGGTTTTGTTTCTATGCAGTTTTAAATCATTCCTTGGAACGGAAAAATAACCACCTGTTTTTAAACTTAGCAGCCTCAGAGCGATTAACTTAATCCTAACCCCAAACATAATCCTATAGGGATTCAAATACCTTTTGTAACAGTTAAAGACATGCAAATTTTAACTTGAAGCTAGACAAGTTTGCATTAGCACAAATACATTTGTCAGTTTGTAAACATTTTGAAACATCACCTTAATGAAGTTTTATTCCACCTGGTTCCAACAAAAGCCAGGAAAGTTTAATTAGAAACCAAATATACACAAGCAGCCACCAACCCAGCATCAGGCCCCCAACAACTTGTTGGACTGGACATGCCAGAGGCAGATTCTGGCTTTACTGCTAGAAATGTCCATTCGTAGGTGGTCATTTTACCGGCTTAAAGAACGCAACGGTGTTGTCACTGGGCTAACGAAAGGGAGGTGTGGGAAAGGCTGCACGGAAAACTTTTAAACAGCAAAAGAGGCTCTCAGCAAACCTCCTGGGATGAATCGCCTCTGCTTTGAACAGCAGGAAAACCGGGCTCTTCAGGGGGCCTCTTCCCACCCACCCACATGTCCGCCCACCCACCCCACTACTGCCAGCACTCTTGAGCCATGTCTGGCTCAGCTGATTGGTGTGTGTGTGTGTGTGTGTGTGTGTGTGAGAGAGAGAGAGAGAGAGAGATCACCGCCTTCAGCATCTGGGGGCCAGCAGAGGCTGAGCGACAGTTGGGACTGACTCCCTGGGAATTCGTGTGCAACACCAGAGACAGGGGCGGCAGACTGAAGTCACCGCTCTGGCTATCCCTCCTCACTCAACCAGACCCAGATCCAGCCTCCAACCGGGAAGAGCAATTGGTGGCTTAGCCGCACCCGCACCCCCTACCTGCTGTTCTGGAGGAGTCTTTCCCCACCTGCCCCTCCAGGTGTTATCTAGAACTCCTGGGAACTGCCGTCCAACCCGCCTGAAGGAGTAGACTTTACGGAACGACGATCCTTTTCGGCCGTTTCTTTGCCGCTTTTCTTTGGGTGGGGCGTTAGGGAGCCCAGAGGAACGAAGGGGAGACTCCCGGGGGAAGGGGAAGGGGCCCTCCAGGCAGCAGCGGCTGCCACGGAGCAGGAAAATAGAGCGATTGTGTGCCCCAGTGGTCACATGCAAGGAAGGGAACGGCGAGGGGCTCGCCTGGCACCAGTTCCCTCAGCCAGATGCCAGCACAGAAACGTGGAGGAGGCTGCTCTCCAGGGCAGGCAACAGGCAGCTGGGCTGACCCCCCCCCCATCCAGCGGGAGAAAAGAGGGGTGCGACTTGCCACAGAGTCCCGGGCGCTTCCCAGCTTTAGTTCTATCCCTGCATCGCAGGAGCCCTTTCAAGCAGCCCGAAGCTAAACGGCGGCAGCGGCGCTCCCCTTTCTTGCTTCCCGCCCTGCCCTGCTCTTCCCGGGCGGGGGGGGGGGGGCGGCTGGTCGGGGAAGGGTCTGGGACAGGAGAGCACTTACCGATGGAGATCCCCAGGAGGCAGTGCGCGGAGGGCGAGAACTGGTCGATGAGATCCTCGCCCATCGCGGGGTAGAAGTAGAACCTGCGGGCGGGCAAAGGGGGCTCGGTAAGGGCTCGCCCGGCGCGTTTCCGTCTGCCCGCCCAGACCTCGACCCCCCCCCCCCCCCCCGAGGAGGGCCCAGGAGCCGCTCAGCAGGCTGTGGGCAAGCGAAGTCCAAATGTTGCGCCACTTCCATCGGAAAGGCGGCTCCGGGGAGGGCGGCGGCACCAGGCGCTCCAGGACGGTGTTGAGCAGCCAAAAGGCGCCCCCCGAGCCTCCCGGCAGCAGCAGCAAGTCCATCGCGGGGCTGCCTGAGCCCCGGCCCCGCCACTCGCCGTCGCCCGGGCGAAGCGCAGCAAGCTCGAGGGCAGCCGAGAGCCAAGAGCGCGGAGGGCCGGGCGGGAAAGGGGCAACCACGGAGCGGGGGGAGCCGCGGGCTGTGACGGCAGACAAACCGTCCCCTGGCGGCGGCCGCCGTTGGCTCTGCGGCCGCCCCGTCTCCAAGGCGACGCCTCCCTGCTCGGACAGAGAGCCCGGCTCGGCCCTGGTCCCCCGGGAGGCCGCCCAGCCCCTCCCGCAGCGCCGCCTGAGGAGCTCCGGCAACCGCGAAGTCACGGAGGGCGGGGGCGGCGGCCTGGACTTCAGCGGCCCTTCCGAAAGCCCGACCCGGCCTTAGGCACCGCCGCTTGGCAACCCTCGTGACGTTGCGGGGCGGGCAGTGCCGGACCTGCGGGATAGGCGGGTGGCCTTCGGGGCGCGAAGACACCGGAGCCTGCAGGGGACGGGACCGCCTCTGCTGGAAGCGCCACTTTCGGGATTCCAGGAGGAGAAACGCTTTGCGCGGCTGGGAATCCGCCTACTTAGCGGGAGCTCTACCCAAAAGGGGGCCCGGGACTGCAGGCGGCGACTCACCCCAGAGCAAGCGGGTGTTGCCCCCACCCCCCCGTGCTCTCCGGGGAGCGCCGGGCCGTGAGCGCCGCCCCAGCCCGCGCGGCCGCCCGACGCCTTTCGGCTGCCGCTTGGAATCCGGGAGAGCTTCACTTGTTGGCCTCAGTCCTGGTTGCTCTTCCCCGCTCGGAGGCTCGTGCGAATCTGGCCAGCGCAGAAGCCCAGAAAAGGGGGAAGCGCTGCCCGAAGGGGCCTGGCCCCCCGAAACAGGTGGCGGGGCCCGGACGGAGATCCTCCGAGCTTCGCTCGGGCGCAGCGCCAGGTCCTCTCCTCGCCTGTTTCTGCGGTGCAGCCCCTGCAATTTCTGGTTCGCGGGGGTGGGGAGAACCCCAGCGCTGCCCCCCCTCGGCTGCGAATCACCAGGATTCTCGCCTACGGAGTCGGGCGGCTTATAAATGCCTAAAGAAATGCAGGCCGCCCACTTCGGGCAAGTTCGGAGGCGGCGCCAGGTTGGATGGGCGATGAATGGCCGGGCCGCTTGGCAGGCGCCTCCCGTCCAGTCTTTTCTTCCGAGACGCCGCCGCTCTGTATCTGATGGCAGCACCGCCAAGCCCCGGTGAGTCTGGGCTCCTGGGGGGCGGCTGCTCTGAGGAGGGGGCCAGGGGCTGGCTACGGGGGCGGGGAGTCTTGGCTGCCGGCGCACAGGTCAGCCTTGGCTGGGGGGGGGGGGCGGACGCCGGGCGGGCCAGGACGCCGAAGCAGAAGCCCCCGGCTTTCGAGGCTGAAAGCCCCCTCCCCGGAGGTCGTGACTTGGCGCCGGGCTTTTATCTCATTCTTCCTTGGGCTCCAAGGGGGCGAATTTCCCCCAACCTACTTGGCGACCACCCTGTGAGAAACGGTCAGCTGAAAGGCTGTGGGGTCCAGTCCCGGAAGGCTCGTTGCCTGATTCTCGCGGCCTTTGGGGAAAGGGGACACAGCACGGAGCGGGATCGCTTTCCGCCTTGCTTTCTGCTCTGTCCCGCCCGCTTTCGCTTCCGTTCGGGGCTCCGTCCAACCACTGGGGCAGCCATTAACCCTGCACGAGGGGCCGCCCTAGGTGGGCCCACCAAGTCACCCCCCCCCCCCCCCCCCCCCCCCCTTGCCCAAGAGAACGGCGCCCCCCCCCCCGCCCCCCCCCCTGCCAGCCCCGGGACTCCCAAAGGCCTCCCCCCCCCCCCCCAGCTCGGTTGCACTGTAACATAACATAACATAAATTGCCCACCCCCGAATTCCCAGCCTGGAAAACTTGTCTGGCTGGGAATCACGGGAGGGCGCATCAGGCTTAGGGAGGGTGGTCCGGATCTTCTTGCGTTTGCTTGAAGTGAAGTGGATAATTCTTCCCCGCGGGGCCGGGGGACGTCGCGGGTTGTAGCCAGTAAAGAGGCAACCAGAGGGGAGAGGCTGGCGACTTGGGCGGGGCTGGGAAAAATGAGGCTACTTTACAGAAGGACGCGCACCTTTTCCCAGGGCCAGGAGCACTTTCGCGGGGTGGGGGAGACTCCAAACACATTTGAGTCTATTCGCTTTGCATTTCAGTTTGATTTCAGTTCAGGTTTCCCATAAGGCATCTGTTGAGATCGTCTCATCACCACAGAGAGCCAGGAGGCCGTGAATTCTGCTCTCGGGAAGCCAGACGTGGGCCAGTCCTTCTCTCTCATCCCTGGAGAAGGTGGGGGTGGGGGGGACACCAAAAGACAAGCCAGACCCCCAAACTCTTCCCTCATTTCTCAAAGTGGGGGCAGGGCAGGGGAGTGAGCATGATAGAGATTCAAGCAATGACGTGTGTGTGTGTGTGTGTGTGTGTGTGCACGCGCCTCTGGCAGTGTGTGGCTGAAAGATTTTGCCTGGCCCTCGTCAAGGGTCAGGCAGCCTTGCAGGCATTCATTCAGTTGCCTCTTGAGGTGATGGGCTGAGCCCAGCCGGCCTCAGGACTGACGGAGGCCTTGGCTGCGGTCCCAGGAGCATAGCCCCTTTTTCCTTCAGAAGCCCCACCAGCCAGACCCACCAACCTACCCAGGAAGCAGGGTTGCCCAGGTGGCACAGCTGGGCATGAACTCTCGGTCTCAGTTGCTGCGCTTGCAAAGGCAGATCCTGCAGCTGCCCCAAGCAAAGCCCAGGTCCTCCCTTGGCAGCCAAGGAGGTTCCCAGCGGAGGAGCGCTTGGCAGCTGCCCCAGTGCCCAGCAGCTGCTTCTCAGCCTTTGGGTGCCAGCCCCAGGGGCAGAAAGAGTGGCTGGGTTTCCTGAGGAACCCCTCCTTGGCCAGAGCCTCTGCAGTCCTTCCAAGGCAGGGAAGGGAGGCGGGTGTTAGAGGGCCACCCCAATCTCCTCCTCCTGCCCCCTCTCTTTCCAGTCTCAGCCCAGAAGAAGGATGGTCACCCAGCATACCTGCCATGAAGACGAGCTCCATGACGGAGAGTGAGTCAGCATCTCTGAGGTCAGAACAGGGCTGACCCCTCTGCTTGGGTCCCCTCTTGTGCAGGAGCTGAGCCCAGCCTCCTGGCCAGTTGAGGGCAGCCTTTCCCGGGTCAGAGAGAGGCCCAGGCTGCCCTTAGGGCACACTCTTGCCCTGCCCTGGGACCTGCCCTTCCTGCTTCCTGGGTGGGTCTGGCTGGTGGGGCTTCCGAAGGAAAAAAGGGCTATGCTCCTGGGACCGCAGCCAAGGCCTCCGTCAGTCCCGAGGCCGGCTGGGCTCAGCCCGTCACCTCAAGAGGCCACTGAATGCCGGCAAGGCTGTCTGGCCCTTGACCAGGGCCTGGTTGTCCTTCAGAGCCTCCCTTGGGAGCTCAAAGGGGGCTTCCCTCCCTCCCTCCCACCCCGTGGAGCAGCTGACAATGGTTTCTGAATGGATGATCTGGGCCAGCCCCAGAACTGTGGCGTCTCTTCTGCAACCTCTGAGCTCCCAAGGCAGCCCTGCTGGGCCTTGTGGGAGGAGGGCGGGGGTCTCAGCCAGGGCTTCCTCTTGGTTAAGGTGTGGGGGGGAGGACCGCTGTTTCCTAGCCATGTGTGAAATGGGTGTCCTTTGGCCCATTCCCAAGAGGGCCCTTTCTTGCTTTCACAGGGAAGCTGGGGGGGAGGGGGGGGAGAGGCTTCCAACCAGGGGCAGGGGGACTCTGCTGTTATCACCAGCACTTCCTCCAATTCCAATCCGGCGGGGGTGGGTGGGGGGTGGGCGCCTCCTAGCCTAGCACGGGCTCCTTGAGCCAAGGCTCTTCTGCGCCTCCTTGGTGCAGGATGCGGGAAGTCGAGGGGGCTGGATACCCGGTGCTGCTGGCGAGGGAAGGCCTGAACATCCGAGCGCTGGGCGGCCGATGCCCACATGCCGGAGCCGCCCTCTGCAAAGGTGAGCCCCCCCCATCACCACCTGCATGCAGCCTCCTCCAGGCTGGGAACAAGGGAGGGGTCTGGTGGGTCCCTTGCCATACTGAGCCAAGGCCCGGCTTTCGGGTGTCCTGGATCCAGGCTCTGCTCCTGGTGTGGGGCTGCTCCCTTTCCGCCCTGCCCCTCTGGCACCCGCTGAGGCCCTCTGCCCCTTGCTGCCAAGGGCTGGTGCCCGCAGCTGCCTCCAGGGGCCTCATGTGCTCCGGTTTCTCAGCGGGCCCTGCCTCTCTCGTGGGTCTCTTTTTCTGGGTTTCAGGCTACTTGGCAAAGGGCCAGTTGCGCTGCCCCTGGCATGGTGCCTGCTTCTGCACCGAGACAGGTGACATTGAGGAATATCCCACCCTGGACTGTCTGCCTGTTTTCCAAGTAAGCTTCAACTCTGCCTCCCCCGCCCCGCCCCCCCAAGGGGAATGTATGGTCCCAGCTGCCAGAGGCTTCCATCCACTGCCTTGCGGGGCAGGGGGCGTCTTCTACAGCAGCCTCTCCAAGTCTCTTTTAATTGGGGGCAATAGAGGCTTCTGGAGCCCCTGACGGTGGGGAAGGAGCCCCCAGATTGTCCACTGCTGATCTATTAGGATCTGAGCAGCAGTGCAGCTCCTGCCAAAGCCGCCTGCCCTCTGGAGTGCGGCCCACAGGCCTAGGCCCACTGGGCTTGTAGGCCATCCCGGCCGGGTGCAACAGGCTGAGTTTGCCCCTCTTCCCACCCTGTGGGGCCACCCCACTGCTTTCCTTTCATCCCTTTGGCACGGCAGTCCCAGCTGGCACCTGCTCTGCATCCTGGGCAGAATAAGACGACTTTGCTGGGGTGGCCAGGATGCAGGCAGACTTTATTTATCGATATCCCACCTTTATAATAACTCAAGAGCAGATTTTATTTGATATCCCACCTTTATTATTTTTACAAATAACCCAAGGTAGAAAACATACCCAGTGCTCCTCCCTCCTATTTTCCCCACCGCAACAACCTTGTGAGGTGGGCTGGCCCAAGAGAGGGACTGGCCCAAAGCCACCCAGCCGGCTTTCATGCCTAAGGCAGGACTAGAACTCCTGGACTCCAGTTTTCTAACCTGATGCTTTAACCTCTAGACCAACTGGCTGTGGGCACAGCTGCTTTCCAGTTCAAGCACTCCTTGGCCAAGCTGGTGGGCAAAGCGCTTACAGAACGAGGGTGCTGGAGCCAATCCCACCCTTGTGGGAGGGGCTTTGTCACGGGGAGGGCCAGGACTGGCCAGCTCAGGGATCAGCAAGGCAGCTTGGCGGGGGTGGGGGGCGTGGAGACCCTCTGCCTTCCTGTCCTGGGCAGCAGGGAGGACCCTCTTGGGCTCCTGCTGAAAGGGGGGTCACTGCTTGGAGGTGGGGAGGTCTCAGAAGGGCCGTTGGGCAAAAGAGCTGCTTCCAGACTGCCAAGGGAGGGGCAAGGCTCCCCTGCCAGTCTGGCACAGCCTCTCAGGGCAAATCCTTCCCTGTTGTGGCAGGTAACCGTGCAGGAGGGGCAGGTGCATATTTCAGCCAGGATGAAGGTAGGTGGTCCCTGCACCTGACACATAGCGGCCTGCAGGGCATCTTCCCCCCACCACGCCCAGCCCTGCTTCCCTCCCTGACAGGATCTGGAGAGCAGCCGCAGAGTGAAGCCCATGGCCCAAGAGTGCCAGCTGGATCCCCAGACGGTTCTGCTGCTGGGAGCCGGTGAGCCTTAGTCAGGGGTGGGGGAGGGGGGGGGCAGAGCCAGGCCGAGATCCAGGGACAGGCAAAGCCGGACTGCACCTCTTCCTCTCCCCCCCCCACCCCCGCCAGGCCCGGCAGCCCTGACCTGCGCAGAAACCCTTCGGCAAGAGGGCTTCCCTGGCAGGATCATCATGGCCACCTGGGAGAACCACCTTCCCCACGACAGGACAAAGCTGACCCAGGTTTGGGCGGGGGAGGGGCTGACCTTGGCACGTGGGAGGGGCAGTGGGTTGAGCAGTGTGCGTGAGAGGGGGGGGCAAGGCGGTGGCTGCTGCTCAGAAGGGGAAGGGGACACCACCCCCGCCATTCTACTCTGGGGGTTAGGCATGAGCCTCAGGGCTTTGAAAGCAGCCTCGGGAGAGGAGGGGGCCGGCCCAAGAAAGCGCCAGGAGGTCCAGGAGGGGGACCCCTCCCCTCACAAGCCTCCAGAGCAGCCCTGCAGAGGGGTGGGGAGGGGGAGGCTTTGAATTCCCCTCCTCTCCCCCTGGATGCTCCCGACTGCTGAAAGGGCCCCTAGGCCTGGGCATTGAGACACCCCCAACTCCCAGGTCCTGCTTCTCCTCCGCCTTCTAGGACTTGGGGGCCCCAGCGGAGAACCTCTATCTCCGAAGTCAGAGGTTCTTGGATGCCCACGACATTGAAGTCTGGAAGCAGAGCGAGGGGGTGTGTGTGTGGGGTTGGCACGACCTGACCTCCCCTCGGTGCTTGGTCCCCCGGCAAGCGGCCGTCTCGGCCTGCAGGGTCCGGAAGCTCAGTGGAGGAAACCGCTCCACCGTGAAAGGTTCACTCCTGCACTGGGGAGGAAACCAACCTTTGGGAAGATCCTGCCCCTCCCCACTCATGGACCTCGGGTCAGCTCAGCAGCCCCCCGGGCACGGGCCAGCACAGACCCCTGAGCGGGAGGAACGGGTCCCAGTGCTGGACCAGCCAGGCCTGCTTCGAGTCTGATGCTGGCTTGGGGCCAGCCTGGACGGGGGAGGGGGTTTCACCTGGGCACCTGCCCAACCCCTGGGAATCCAGCATAGCTTTCATCTGTCTGCAGGTGGTCTCTCTGGATCCTGCAGGCAAAACGGCCCACTTCCGGGATGGGGCATCTCAGGCGTATAGCAACCTGCTGATCGCCACAGCAGCAGGTAAATGATGCCACCTGAAGTTTTGGCCCGGGGGGGGGGAAGCAGAGGTCAACCCAGGTCTCACTGAGGGTACCAGGCGAGGGTCTGAGGGACTTCTCTCTTCTCTGGACACCCCTCGGAAGCTCCAGAGAACAGCTGCATGCTCCTCACCCCTTAAGATGCCAACCGGATCCTGGCCTTGGCCCTGGGCAGGCCCGTAGTGATTGTAGGGGCCTCTTTCATTGGCATGGGATTCATCTGCACCCGTAGCTATGAACTGGAAGGGGTGGGGGCTACCCATCCCTCCCCCAGCCCCAGGACCCTCCCTCCCGACTTTTCATGCCAGACTCCTCTCAGCTCCCGGCTTTCCTTCCCTGCAGGGATGGAGGTAGCAGCCAGCCTCGTCGGCAAAAGCAGCCCAGCTCCAGGTGGTGGAGAGAGAAGAGCTGCCTTACCTGCTGACCCTGGGGGGGTCAGGTGGGCACCGTGGCCATGCAGGTAGGGAAGGGCAAGCAATCCAACAGTGACGAGGGCTGCTCTCCGGTGGGGGGGGGGCAGGGGCACCTCCACACAGGCCGATCCTTGTAGCTGAGTTTAGGCAGCAAATCTTGGATGTTTTTCTGGAAAACCATTCGTAGCTCACTTTCCTTTATTGTAGCCCTCACAGAAAGCGTGCCGGAACAACGCAAACATTTCTCTTTCTTTGCTGGGCACAAGCCCCCATTTGGCTCCAGCGCTTCCAAGGCTGAGCACGGCCCCTTCTAGGTCTCCCCTCACCTGCAAATGAGCGGGGCTTCTCCGGGCAGCCCCGGAGGGGACATGACTGGATGCAGCAAGAACCATGCCTTCCTTCCTCTTTCTTCCCTCCCTCCCAGATGCTCCAAGCCCCCCAGGGAGTTCGTTTCCACGTGAAGACAGAGGTGGCCCAGATGCAGGGACAAGACGGGCAGGTATGGAAGCTGCCCAGAGTTCGAGCAGGGGAGGGGGGCTGCTGCATCTCCGCCTCTCATTCCCTCCCAGGTGACCAGCGTCCTTCTTAGCAACGGTTCTGTTCTCCCTGCAGACTTGGTGGTGGTGGGCATCGGTGAGTAGGCGGCGCTTTGGCACCATTTTCACACTAAAAGAGGCGGGGGAAAGCAGAGGGGGAGGGGGGAAGGGGGAGGACGGGCACAAGGCAGGAGGAGCCGCTTCCAGATTTCCAATGGCCTGTGACCAGGATGGAACAGGGCCAGCATTTCCTCGTCTGGCCTCCAGGGGGAGCAGCAAAGGCTGGGGGCTCTGCTCCTGCCTCTGGGGCACCCAGAGGGGCTGCAGCTGGCCACATCTGGAGGATCAGGGTTTTTCTTGCAGCTGCCTTGTTAGCAAGGATGCCCCCATGTCCTTGGGGGG